GGAGAATGGATTATTTGAAATTTCATTGATTAATCTTCCTATAAAGCATGTTTTTATATCTCACGCTTGCTTAAAGCATAGCAGAGGACATCCATAAAGGAAGCCCTTGTGTTTATAATTAGGGTGTGCAAAGTTTGCATATTTTGTCCTCAGAATGTTCTGCATCTTAGATGAACACAGTTCTCCAATTAAACACGAGGCTGGGGATTGGGATGAGACTACAAGCTGATCCTTCTATTTTATGATGTAGCCTCGGCACAGGCATGTCCTGTGATTTCATTGCAGGATAGCTCAACGACACTGACTCACAGGGAGTTTACCAGCATATATTAAGTTCTGCTACGTCCTGTGGAATTCCAGAATAGTGCAGCATTTATAATTCTGGTATATCTTCATCACTATGCCTTTATGAGAAATTTTATACTTGTGAATAAATTAATAGACTCTCCCCAAAGAAAACCAAACCAAAACAAAAAACAATGTGGCATATATATATAAGGGCAGGGGAAGAGAATCAACCTTTACTCAGTACTAGCTTTTGTGCCAAAAACTATGCTGTTTTCTTTTTTTCATACATTAATTCAAATAAGTAAACAGAATATGGTAACTTGATTTGGTTCAAACCTAATGATAGGAAGAATTATTATTGTGAACATGGTAATTAGATATAAATGGAAAGGCCTAAAGACCATATCTACTTAAATCATAATTTTGAGCTGGACCAACTAGCTCTAAAGGAGAAATATTCTATACTCACTCATGGCAATTAATCAACATGTGGAGAGGGCAGAAGACAGCATCACTCAGTGTGGTAGGCAGAATTGTAAGGTGGTCCCTAACACTTTTGTGCCTTGGTGTTACTCCATGTTCATGTTACCTTAGATGGTGAGATGGTTAAAGTTGTGTGTCAACTTGGCTGGGCCATGATTCTCAATGGTTTCACAGTGTTATGGATAGAATTGTGTCCCCTAAAAATATGTGTATCAATTTGGCTAGGCCATGATTTCCAGTATTGTGTGATTGTCCACCATTTTGTCATCTGATGTGATTTTCCTATGTGTTACAAATCATGTCTCTATGATGTTAATGAGATGGGATTAGTGGCAGTTATGTTAATGAGGCAGGACTCAATCTACAAGATTAGATTGTGTTTTAAGCCAATCTCTTTTAAGATATAAAAGAGAGAAGGGACCAGAGAGACACAGGGACCTCATACCACCAAGAAACAAGAGCCAGGAGAATAGCGCATCCTTTGGACCCAGGATCCCTGCACTGAGAAGATCCTCGACTGGGGAAGATCGATGACAAGGGCCTTCCCCCAGAGCCAACAGAGAAAGAAAGCCTTTTCCTGGAGCTGGTACCCTGAATTCAGACTTCTAGCCTACCAGATTGTGAGACAATAAACTTTTGTTTGTTAAAGCCATCCACTTGTTGTATTTCTGTTATAGTGGTACTAGATGGCTAAGACAGGCAGTTATGTAATGATGTAATTTAACAGTTGTGTAATAATGTAGTTAACATTCATTTTGTGATATAATGTAATCACCTCCATGATGTGATCTGATGTGATCAGCCAATCAGTTGTAAGGGGAGTTTCCTCAGAGGTGTGGCCTGCATCTAATATATGTGGACATTCTGGCAAAGCTCACTGGCTTTTGTTGGCTCTGGATCCTGCATCCAGCTCAAGTCCCAAGAACCAGAGATGAGATGAACAGCAGCCAGCTGCAGGATGCAGAAAGAGCAAAAGCCCCAAGCCTTGCCAGAATATCCACTTATATTCAATCCAGGCCAGATGCCCAAGGAAGCTCCCTTTCAACTGATTGGCTACTCACAGCAGATCCCACCATGGAGGTGATCACATAATATCAAAACTCATCATGGAAGTGATCACACCATTATACGACTATCAAATCACTGAGGATCATGGCCCAGCCAAGCTGACACACAACTTTAACCATTACAGTTGCTGTTGAGAATGAAACATCTTCATGATCATTGGTACATTCGAGTCCATTCTATCAATCCGTCTCACTGAGGGCTTCCCTTGTTTTCATTGACTCTCTACTTTACCAAGTAAGGTGCCCTTTCCTAGCTATTGATCTAGATGATGATGTGTCCAAAGTAAGCGAGTCAGTCTTGCCATCCTCGTTTCTAAGGAACATTCTATTTGTGATTCTTCTAAGAGCAATTTAACTAGTCATCTGTTAATGGACATTAGTTGGTATTCATTATTTTACAATTACCACCAATTAATAATTTGTATATAAGTCATTTAGCATGATTCATGTATAGCTGTAAGATAATTTCTAAAGAGCATTTGTTGGGTCAAAGGGTATATGCATTTATAATTTTTGTAGCTATTGCCCAATTGCCCTCCACAGGGATATATGGATTTTTCTTTCCACCAATCACATGGATGTACTCCTTAACAAGATGGTATTATCAAACTTTTAGATCTTTGCTAATCTGATAAATGAAAAATGGCATCTCAGTATAGCTTTATAAGTATTTTTCTTCTTATGAATGAAGTTGTGTATTTTACTAACAGTTCCTGCGTGGTGCAAACAGTTTGTGCTCAACTACTAACCTAAACGTTGGTGGTTTCGAACCCACCCAGCAGTGCCATGGAAGACAGGCCTGGTGATCTGCTTCCATAAAGATTATAGCCAAGAAAACCCTATAAAGCAGTTCTACTCTGTAACACATGGGGTTACCACAAGTTGGAATTGACTTGACAACAACGAGTTTTTTGTCTTTTTTTTGGTGCATTTTATTATGTTCAGGAGACAAGGTATAACAAGGGTATAAGAAGTGACTTGGGAGCATTTTTCAGGTATTTTTAATCATAAACGTTCAGCAGAATGTTATGGCACCAGTACGGCATGACACAATGAGAGACAGGGAGATTGTCCT